CAGAAAAATGGCCCTTTTTGCCATCTTTGAATTAAATCGACCAGCATCCCCCACAGTCGTTCCTTTTTTTTCCCTTGAAAACTGCTCCTAAGAGGTTCTGCAGGGACGTTTCTCGCGGTCAGAACACACACAAAGGTTCAGGCCGGCATAAAATGCAGTGCAAGTTCCTGCAGTGGAAAACCACCAAATTAATCAATTCTGATGCACATTAGGAGACTGATGAAGCTCGTTTCCCAAAAAGTAAAAAGAAGGCCCTTCTTAAACGTTCTAAGAAAATGATGGCAGGAACACAATAAGATACACGAAGACGGCCAAAGGTCACCAACTGCAGCTGGATAAGCACACAGAGGGACGTTATGCAACAGACAACTATAAAAATCTCACTGGTTCACTTCTAACTGTGCTGTTATGTCAGAGCCATATACATATTATATACTCTGTGATTCCCACAGGACTAAGAGTTTTATTTAACCCTTACTTAACAATGTTCCAATAAAGCAGTGCAAACAAATCTAAAGAAAAGTCCTCACTAAAGGCTGTTCCTGTTATTAAAGCACACTGCTTATGTCGCAACAGGAATATTTTCAAAGTAAAAGTTGGATTTTTTATGCTGCCAAGCAAAGAGCCACAGCCTGAAAAATCAACACAGGATGAAGGAATAACTCCCAGCTTTGCATGTCTACTGTCAGTTTAATCCGCCTATTGATTTTAATAAGTCTTTTCCACTCTCTTAGCTGAACGTGTCGACTGACTGGAGGCGAGCGCTTTGTTTTGAAGGTACCTGTTCAAGCATGACTATGAAAACAAGATCCTCCTTGTTCACACAGACACATATATTCTTTCCTCCTGTGTAAATGCTTTTATTTTCACTGTGGTGCTTACAACATACCGGACACACTTGATCAAATGCATGCTGACTTTTTGTAATTTTGCTGCTTCCATGCTGAATTTTCCTACACACACACGCTTACTACAGTTTCTTGGGATGCTATCTTTAGATTTTGATTAGACCTATAATTATGTGGTACGCTCACTGAAAAGCTTGACTTAGATGACTGCAAATCTCGCCAGATGATTTCCTCTTTTCTGCATAATCCACACAACCTTCTTACTAGTGATACAAGCCAGGGCTAGTCAGAGCTTTTATATCTGCGTTAATACAGCCACATTTTAGCATTAAGCATCAGTTTAATGCCTGTAAGCTCAGGTGTTTAAGTTATCTGGAGGCACGTTACACATGTGTGGAGATGTTTAGGCCCAGATTCACTTAAACTGAGCTGCCAGCAGAGGTGGAGGAGGTACTCAGACCTTGCACATCAGTAAAAGTACCAGTATCACAGAGAAAATACTTTGCACTCTAAAAAGTACAATGAGGATGACTTCTAATCAAGTGATCAAAACACTACATTGAATATTTATTCTTTTTTTTAAATCTTGGAGCTATGAATTTAAGTAAGTTGTTGGGAAATGTCCATGGAAACACTTTAAACTGTGTTAAAAGTAAAGTTATGGGCCGCCGCTATAGCTCACCTGGTTGAGCTGGCGACCCATGTACAAGGGCTGTAGTCTCTGATGCAGCGGTCATGGGTTCAAATCCTGCTCATGGCCCTTTGCTGCAACCCTTTCCCCTTTCTCCTCCCCCACCTTCCTGTCTCTCCTTTAACTGTCCTGTCTAATAAAGGCAAAGAGGCCAAAAAAATAACTTTAAAAAAAGTAAAGTTATGAGCAAAAGTACTCACTATGGCATATTTCAGAACTGTATTATTATTGTTATAATTGCATCAATGTGTTAATTAGTTGAAGATTGAAATGACTGAAGATGACTGAACTACCTTACATCTGCTGTTTGTGATCTTCCCCTCATGGATCATCCGTCCATCATCTATACACCGCTCAATCCTCACTAGGGTCGTGGGGGGCTGGAGTCTATCCCAGCTGACTCAGGGTGAAGGCAGGGGACACCCTGGACAGGTCACCAGTCTATCACAGGGCTACACTTAGAGACAGACAACCAAGCACACTCACATTCACACCTACAGACAATTTAGAATCACCAATTAACCTCAACATGTTTTTGGACTGTGTGGGAGGAAGCCTGGAGAGAACCCACGCTGCACGGGGAGAACATGCAAACTCCACGCAGAAAGATCCCGGGTGTCCTCACTGGGACGTGAACCGGCAACCTTCTAGCTGTGAGGCAACGGTGCTACCAAATGCTATTCATGGATCAATAAAGTTTTATTTTATTCTAGCTTTACATCATAATTTATTTACTGATTTTTAAAAAAATGTTAACTTGCTAAATCTGCAAAGGAGTAACTGAAGTTACATCACATAAATGTAGTTGAGTAAAAAATATATATATAATATATTTGCCTCTGAAGAAGTATGAAGCAGCCAGAAGTACTCAAGTAAAGTACAAGTAACTGAAAATTGTATTTACATGTGATTAACTGCACTTTCCACCACTGACCTGAGGCAAACAAAAGTCTGTTTTCTTCAGCAGGACTGTGGTGATCCTTGTTTATTATGAAAACATAATCTGAACCAACGAGAGGAAATGACCCCAAAGGGCAAAGTGTGAAGGAAGCTGCTGTTGATATGTGATATCCAGCAGGTCCTCAAGCCTCAGGAGCTCAGCCACAACTAAATGAAGTCTGAAGCCATTCATTTTTTGTCTTTCCACCTAAGTGATGTGGACCCCTGAGAAGTCACTTGTATGCTTCTGAATCTCCGTCAGCCTTTTATCATCTGTTGTTTCTTCTGCAGGATGGTGGCACTAGAACAACTAGAACCAACACCTAATGCTGTCATACTACTATGAACCTGGAACATACGTACAGAAGCTAAAACATACACTGATCCCCCGCCTTCTAAGTAAAAATATAAATAACTTCACAAAAACATTCAGTCTAAATTCACTGTGACACTGAACCGACAAAAACCTCTTAAGGAGTAAACCAAGACCAGCACTTAAAGCAAAAAGAAGTCATCAAACAAAATGAACTGTGACTGTTAAATTACTGGTAGAGGATCATTCTTCAGTGTCAGTTCAGAAAACAATGTCTCACATTTTGTTCTGAGTTTAGTTATTTGCTTTTTGGGACCCAAAATTAAGTTCCGTAAAAAAATATTTTGGTGCAATTTTGACAATTTATGTTTTCAGACGTGAATTATTTATTTATTTTTTGCATTTTCACCATAAAAAAAACAACATTTTTCCTGTGAAGCCATTTGAAGGCTTCAGTATCTTCAGAAAGTACCACAGTGATGAAAAAAAAAATCCAGCAGATCTAAATTGGCCCTTGAAAATGGAAGAAAGTGCAAAAATATTCAAACGAAGTTGGTGCTGGGGCTCTAGAAAGTCCCTCGAAGCGTATATATGGCTGTATCCTTATTTCGTACTAAAAATACAGTCTTTGGTCGACATTTTACTGACTTTGGAGGCCTTAGAAGTTGCTTTCATGTTGAAATTTAACAATTTTCAAGGCTTATTTTTTTGCACACTAAGTGTTTCAACAAATAAAAACTCAAACATATTCTGAGATGCAGCAGCAGCGTATTTCCTGAATTCTGTCTAAAATGATTCTGACTGGACTGGATGAAGACCATTTGATTTTATTGCATCTTCTTTTATGAGGATTGTGAATTTCACAAGCAAATGTATAAATAATTTGACCGCTGTCTCTTCTGATGAGTTTTATGT